CTTAAATTAACAACAAAACGCCATGAGTATAATTATTTTAACTAATTGTGAAAGAAAAGAGAATTATTTTCAGCATACAAATCACGGTAACTTGGCCCAGGGTGATAGGAAACCAATGCTGAATAAGACAATGTCTTGTTGCACACAGCGTAAACATGTGACAAATCACCACAATACACTTTGTGGTCAAAATGCAAGCCCTTGTGAATATTTTCCGTGAGATAAGATCTTGCCACTGTTACACAAGCCTTATTAAAATGCTCTTTTCCATCCCTTCTTCGCGTAATATCTTACATTGCGGCATTTGTAAACAAAGTCGCAAGTGGGTACTTTACGTCGTAAAAGATCAAGCGTTCACTGCTACGCAACGCATTGTTGACATATTCGTAGCGCTTCGACCAAAATAACATCAAGTATTTCATACAGATTTCTTAAAAAGATGAATATCGTATTTTACTGCATGTTTTATTTTCATAATTAGCCGCTATCTCCAAAAACTAATTATGCGAGAAACCTGCGCCGATCGCAAAAATAGCTAATATGAGAGAGCTACCTTAAATAGAATCTTAAGTGTGGGCCGGGTAAATATATATAATTACAGTCTTTAATGTATAGAAAATACACAAGTTTTTGCAAATACATTCTTATATGATAACATGTGTCTTAATTATCCGTGCATGTTATTGTATTGTTCTTACAGTTTTAGTTTAATATATTTATTGAAAACCCAAACGATAAGATAATATAGTATTATTGCAATATCTTACACTTCATTTAAACATGCACCATTCCAGTAAATCCTGAACTGTTTAATATGTGTCTGTTAAAATATAAACATAATATAGCGAAATGACAATGGCTCAAACTTTATTCAAACATGACCAATTCCAGACCCCTGTTCCCAAAACCCCTGTCAGTATGGCGGTACATGTATACGAACCAACAGTTACTATTGGCCGTACACTGGCTACAGATGTAACTGTCCTTACTACCGCACTGGGCAGAAGTGCGAGTACAGTGCTTACGGTAACCGAGAGTTGATTTTTCTATCAAATAACTGGCCATCACTTACTGTTAAGTCATCTTCAGCAGTGACCAATCATCCTTTTTAACGTCAACTCCAAGGGAACCTTCAGGGTAATATTTATAGAATTGATAATAAAGGTGTGTAACGTTTTCATCATATGATCAAACACCTGTCTCGCAAATCAACAAGTCAAATATAAAATATATTTAGTCAGGCATAGCAGTATTTTGTAAATAGCTAGATTAAATATTTAAAAAAAATCAAAACTAGGTATGTATGCATACTTTCATATAGATTCATTATTAACATTATTTCATTATTTCATATTCTACAGGGGAAACCACTGCGGCAGACGCAATCCCAACAACAGGTATTTTTTATCGTTCAGTCAAATTTGAAATATACTGTTACGTAATATGTGATTTTGCGTTAAACAAGAGTTCATCGATTTAATATTTATCTCAATATGGTTTTAGCAGCAGCATTTTCACCACATGTATTATTGAAAATTTAAATATTTCCATTTTATGTTTAGTGGCGCCGGAAGCAACTACATACGGTAAGCCTTCCTATTGAACGTTCTTTTGTTTTATAACACTATTTTTTGCCGCCATATGTATGTAGTAGTTTGCACAAGAGCATAAAGTTAATCATATTCTAGAGAAAGATGAAAAAAACAAAGGAGTAAACATAGTGTCTAAAATTATCTATGGATTCATTGATGATTGGGTTCCACTGTGCCTGTAGTTATAAAGTGTAAGTTATTCATTGCAAACCTGAAAATTGCCATTGAATTGTATAAGTGTTATATATATACATATATATGTCTGATGCTCCCGTTGATGCTTGGATTCGGTACTTTGAAGCACCGAAAAACTAGTGCTTGAGAAGATTTTATGGCCAAATTTTACTGTGAATATTTTTCAATCCCTCCTTTGTTTTTAAGATCCCTGCTATAACAATCCGTGTCAGAATGGTGGAACGTGTCACCCAAAGACAATCCCTTACTGGCCGTACCAATTCGTAAAATACATCTGTCAGTGCGACTCTAACCACTATGGACAAGAATGCCAGCACAATGCACGTAAGTTGGATCTGTGCAGTGAGATACTGGTTATAGAAATTGAGATGTATATCTTGATATTCATTGTCTTGTTCAGTGTTTCCACGTTATTAGCCTGACTATAAACGAAAAATAAAGGTGCGAGTGAGGAGCATCTAGTGTTATATATATATATATATATATATATATATATATATATATATATATATATATATATATAATACTAATAATAATAAAAAAGAAATAAAGAAAAGAAGTTATTTTGCCCCGACCGGTTTCATTTCAAAATCCTTATTGTCTGCAGTGCCATCAAGAAATTAAATAAGCTCTGTATTGGTTCAATCCTGATATTCGTTTGCTTTAGGACAAACCACTGATAATCCTACGGATAAAGGCCCTTTTAAAATGATTTTATAAACTTGTTATCCAGTTTATAAGCACCTTTCTTTGTGTAGTTTACTAACACCATTGATTGTTTCCAGATAGATAAATTTGGAGCAAAGTAACCGATGACACATCTCTGTCCTCAGTCTCCGATAACAAATATTGCAACACAATACAACATAATACGACACAATACTATAACAAATGCATCAAACAACCCATAAAGATATTTTACTTAACTGAGGCACGTGTAATTGTCAAGGCAGATTGTGTTTCTTTGTGTATCTATGACACGGCAACATGCAATTGCTCTGCGTATTATCAGCGTATATACTCACTACAGTTTATTTTATTCTTAAAGTAGGTTGTCAAAATGGAGGATATATTGATGAGTCTCACTATAACGGTAGATGTCGCTGTCCAGTCGGCACGTGGGGCTATCTTTGCCAATATGAAAGCGGTGAGTTTTATTTGTTTAATGTGAGTGTATGGGCAGTTGATTTACCTTGATCCCATGTGTCGCAAAATTATAACACTTGTCTTTGTGCAGTTCACATTAAAATTGTTTTTACTGCCTAGATTTTGCCCCGATATATATAGCCATATCAGAGGAGAAAGGCAATATCACCTAAAGGCAATAGTAGTATAAGTAAGTCGATTTCGACCTGCATTTTTGGAGGAGGTATGTACTTTTAATGTAATATTTTAGCGAACCTTGAACCTTTTGAGGAGGAGTGCACTTTCAATGTAATTTCTTAGTGACCCCTGAAGCATAAGGGGGGCTTTGCAAGCGAATTTTAATAACAATCATCTAAGTAAGAGAGGAGTTCCAGAAGCTGCAAAACCGAGAGGCGCCATATACTTTTAATGCAGTTTTTTAGAGCGTAAATGAGGCGAATGTTAATGACGAATGCACTTGATGGCAGGGGTACCGACGACGCGACAAGCAGAGGGCGGGTGGGTCTTATCGGTCAAGTGGATTTGTCAACAAACTAACACTTGAAGAACGTGCAGGCGGATTTGCAAATATCCCTTTGTAAGCGAATGTCAATGACGAGGTACTTGGATACCTACGAGGTAATATCTCAAGTAATGTGTGTAAAACGGATTTGACAGCAATCAGACAGACAGAGTCGGCAAGGCAGCAGACTTGTTTTGCTGAAAAATAGCAGAGTCATTTTATTTCACCAAAGATGGTCATGCTGTATTATATAATTATTCTAATATTTGCTATTAAAATGAAGGAAACAACTGCAAAGTCATGTCATTCTGTCGCCTATAATTCCCCGATAAATATTTGACATGCAAAGGTTTAAATCTTTATGTTTTGCTGAAAAATTGCAGAGTCAGTAGAGTTGAAAGGTGTGTTATATAATTATTTAATATTTGTTATTAAAATGAAGGAAAAAACTGCAAAGTCACACCCTTTCTGTTGCGTATAAATACCCCCATTTCTCGGTGTTAATACCACAGCAACATGGCACAGGCAGAAATACAGACATGTGACATTTGCCACGGCTACAATGTAAAAATATCAGGCAAAGGATTTTAACTTAAATTTGTATTTTTTTTTAAACGGTAGAGATTTATATGTATTGCATATACAATAATTACCACGTGAAGTCATTCCACGTAGAATTACAGGTACATAACGCATGTATAATATACAAAATATCAGGCAAAGCATTTTAACTAAAATATGTATGTATTTTTTTAACGGTAGAGATTTCTATGTATTGCATGTATGCACTCAATGCAATCGGTGTGTCAACAAATGTTGGAGTTTTAACTGAATTGCTGAGCTACTTCAGATGAACACAATGTTTATATAAATACGAAAGGAACACATACTACGTATTTAGAATGCATTATACATAGCTAGTTTCAGAGGGTGGAGGGAAAATAAACGTTCTAACAGATTATTCATATTTTGTCTGAGCTGGTTATTTGATTGGAATAGCATATCGGCCACCAATATACATTGGATATTGATCTCTGTTTTCATAGAAATGTATAAGCGCCTTGTATCGTGGGTCATTCTTGATATTGTTATTATTGTAATTAATAGGGTCACGGGGTTGGCTGAAGCTCCTATTGTTCTCGTATTTGTAATTTTCCGATTCATTATCATCCGTCTCTGTAGCCGACGCGTTGGAAGTTTCACCGCTTTCTGAGTCGCTGTCCTCCGACTCTGTGTTTGACATCTCGATTTGCTCCGACTCTCCACTGTTTGTTGATTTTATGCCATCGGACGCATCAGAATCGGTATAGTATTCGGTATCCCTGCCATCCGTAGACAGACCTTTATAAATTAGCGGGGGCTCTGTATATTCTGAGTCCGACGCATACCGTTGAAATAAGGAAGTCCCCCTACCTGTCTGAATCGGTTTAGGTTTCGGTCTTAAATTATATCTCTTTGGTGGAGCAGCGTAACGCGTTCGCTTTTGCAAGGGTTCTCTTGGTGTTTTACCAAACAACTTTATTTTAGGCCCCTCCGCGGGAGAGTGTTCCCCCCTTAAAGTGACAGGCAATCGCTGCGGTGTACCTACAGTCTTATATGGTGGAGGGAATGTTCCGTGTCGTGTAGGAGTGGTATTCATATACACCGGACCAGCGACCACAGGGTTATTGTATTGTTCTTTTGTTCTTAGTTATTTCCAGTATGACTGTTTTTTGAGGAACAGTTCATCGTTCAAGGCAACTTTTTCGTCCAAGGTAAGGTCATCTCTTTTCCACAGTTTGCGTTGATCTGATTCTATACTATCAATCATTTTGGTTAAAGGTCGCGTCTTATGTTTCTCCTCTTGTAAATACTTGACAATCTCAGATTGGTACTTACATCATTAGTGTCCTCGGGAAATATGTCCATACGTAGGCGACAGTCATCTGGAGTGTCTTGCTTTAGATCTATGAAGAGGTAGCCATGAGGAGGAGAGGTTGCCTGCTTAAAAGCTCGGAGGAATTCCTTAACCTCACCGGGGTACATCTGCTGGGCTAATGTTCTGACCTGCAATGTGTCTCTAGGGCTTTTAAAGAGGACGAGATAATGGCAGTTCAAGGAGATGGTTCTCGCTTCCATCCCTCTGGGAAAAAGGTTTTGGGTAATAAGTATGACGCTCACATTGCGATGGTGTGACACTTTGGTAAATAAGTTACGTATTCTGGTATCAACCGCCACCTCGGCAAACAGGTCGTCGAATACAATGAGATTGTTCAATTTAGGATCAAAGAAATCGTTATCTTGGATATTGGAAGGAATGCCTTGATGAAACGTAATAAAACGCTTTGCCTCGACCAGCATGACTTCGTATAAATGTTGCCAAATATCGTAGCACCAAATTATTTTCTGGGGGCACGGTGTAATCATTGATTGGGCGTGTGCAATCAATCGTTTCACGAAAACCGATTTTCCACTGCCAGTCGGACCAGTCACCATGGCAGTAAATGGGGACATGAGTGGTCCACACTCACTACCAGCCTGCAGATTAAGCTGAGCTTTCGCCTGGTGTACACTCCTTACGTGTCTATTCAAGTTGTCCTTTCTGGAGAAGTTTTTTTGGCACTCTGGACACTTCAGCATCTTGTCAAAGAATGAGAAGTTAGAGCAAGGAGTAAGCTATTTATATTAAAACTATATATTTACACCCTCCTCCTCACTAACTGTCCCTCCTCCCCCTCGCTTAATCATCCTCATTTTTACATCCTCCTCCCTCATTTTCAGTATATCTCATTTATTTCATGGGGTCATTTTATTGGTATTTGTAAAGAAGGGACGCGACTGTGATTCTACGTGAAATCTCTTCACGTAATAATTGTATTCTTTCTCTTCACGTAATAATTGTATTCTTTCTCTTCACGTAATAATTGTATTCTTTCTCTTCACGTAATAATTGTATTCTTTCTCTTCACGTAATAATTGTATTCTTTCTCTGACACGGCTACAATGTAGCCGTGACAAATATCGCAGTGCTGCACTTCTATCTGTGGCATGTTGCTGTGGTATTAACGCCGAGAAATGGGGGTATTTATACGCAACAGAAAGGGTGTGACTTTGCAGTTTTTGTCTTTATTTTAATAACAAATATTAAGATAATTATATAATACATCTTTCAACTCTACTGACTCTGCAATTATTCAGCAAAACAAACCTTCCAACCCTTTGGTTGGCAAATATTTATCGGGGAATTATAGGCAACCGAATGACATGACTTTGCAGTTTTTTTCCTTCATTTTAATAACAAATATTAGAATAATTATATAATACACCTTTCAACTCTACTGACTCTGCAATTTTTCAGCAAAACATAAAGATTTAAACCTTTGCATGTCAAATATTTGCGGGAAATTATAGGCGACAGAATGACATGACTTTGCAGTTGTTTCCTTCATTTTAATAACAAATATTAGAATAATTATATAATACAGCATGACCATCTTTGGTGAAATAAAATGACTCTGCTATTTTTCAGCAAAACAAGTCTGCTGTCTTGCCGACTCTGTCTGTCTGATTGCTGTCAAATCCGTTTTACACACACTACTTGAGATATTACTTAGTAGGTATCCAAGTACCTCGTCATTGACATTCGCTTACAAAGGGATATTTGCAAATCCGCCTGCACGTTCTTCAAGTGTTAGTTTGTTGACAAATCCACTTGACCGATAAGACCCACTCGCCCTCTGCTTGTCGCGTCGTCGGTACCCCGGCCATCAAGTGCATTCGTCATTAACATTCGCCTCATTTACGCTCTAAAAAAAACTGCATTAAAAGTATATGGCGCCTCTCGGTTTTGCAGCTTCTGGAACTCTTCTCTTACTAAGATGATTGTTATTAAAATTCGCTTGCAAAGCCCCCCTTATGCTTCAGGGGTCACTAAGAAATTACATTGAAAGTGCACTCCTCCTCAAAAGGTTCAAGGTTCGCTAAAAAAATACATTAAAAGTATATACCTCCTCCAAAAATGCAGGTCGAAATCGACTTACTTATACTACTGGCAATATTGTGCATTAAAAAATTAAATCACAGAGTCAACATCTCGGGTAGCTGCCATAAACCCAGATGGCGTTATCTTATCCTCAAGTTACCGACTTAACCAACTTCTGGAGCTTGTTAGGTCAGATTTACCCACCTTAGACAAGATCTTCTGCCTCATCCCATCCCTTGCAGGCGGCTGGGCCTCTCTCCCTCTTATGACACGGTTTGGAGTATCCCAGCATTGCTTAGTAGGATTCAGTGCAGGCAGCCAAGTATTATTTCTCAATTTCCTTATCCCTGAAAAAATGCTCAGTGAGCAAGTTGACATGAACCAAATTGCAGTAATATGCAANCGTGCTTTCTTCGTGTACGGTTATGCACTCGGAACTACTCGGATGTCTCCGCACTCGACAATAACCTTGTTGTTAGTATGGAGCTTGCGGAATCAGCCGAGGATTACCGATTGACGGTCAACCAATCAGCGTTTTCACCAAACTTTGGTGAAAAATTTTGAAACTTGGATTCGATTGGCTTATATAAACTAGGTCAAACTATTTTCGTCAGAGGTGACTTGACACGATGAAGATAGGCTATAGTGAAGAGGTTAGTGTCAAGTTTTCTCTGAAGCTCAGGGTGCCTGGTGTACACTCCTTACGTGTCTATTCAAGTTGTCCTTTCTGGAGAAGGTTTTTTGGCACTCTGGACACTTCAGCATCTTGTCAAAGAATGAGAAGTTAGAGCAAGGAGTAAGCTATTTATATTAAAACTATATATTTACACACTCCTCCTCACTAACTGTCCCTCCTCCCCCTCGCTTAATCATCCTCATTTTTACATCCTCCTCCCTCATTTTCAGTATATCTCATTTATTTCATGGGGTCATTTTATTGGTATTTGTAAAGAAGGGACGCGACTGTGATTCTACGTGAAATCTCTTCACGTAATAATTGTATTCTTTCTCTTCACGTAATAATTGTATTCTTTCTCTGACACGGCTACAATGTAGCCGTGACAAATATCGCAGTGCTGCACTTCTATCTGTGGCATGTTGCTGTGGTATTAACGCCGAGAAATGGGGGTATTTATACGCAACAGAAAGGGTGTGACTTTGCAGTTTTTGTCTTTATTTTAATAACAAATATTAAGATAATTATATAATACATCTTTCAACTCTACTGACTCTGCAATTATTCAGCAAAACAAACCTTCCAACCCTTTGGTTGGTAAATATTTATCGGGGAATTATAGGCAACCGAATGACATGACTTTGCAGTTTTTTCCTTCATTTTAATAACAAATATTAGAATAATTATATAATACACCTTTCAACTCTACTGACTCTGCAATTTTTCAGCAAAACATAAAGATTTAAACCTTTGCATGTCAAATATTTGCGGGAAATTATAGGCGACAGAATGACATGACTTTGCAGTTGTTTCCTTCATTTTAATAGCAAATATTAGAATAATTATATAATACAGCATGACCATCTTTGGTGAAATAAAATGACTCTGCTATTTTTCAGCAAAACAAGTCTGCTGCCTTGCCGACTCTGTCTGTCTGATTGCTGTCAAATCCGTTTTACACACACTACTTGAGATATTACCTAGTAGGTATCCAAGTACCTCGTCATTGACATTCGCTTACAAAGGGATATTTGCAAATCCGCCTGCACGTTCTTCAAGTGTTAGTTTGTTGACAAATCCACTTGACCGATAAGACCCACCCGCCCTCTGCTTGTCGCGTCGTCGGTACCCCGGCCATCAAGTGCATTCGTCATTAACATTCGCCTCATTTACGCTCTAAAAAAACTGCATTAAAAGTATATGGCGCCTCTCGGTTTTGCAGCTTCTGGAACTCTTCTCTTACTAAGATGATTGTTATTAAAATTCGCTTGCAAAGCCCCCCCTTATGCTTCAGGGGTCACTAAGAAATTACATTGAAAGTGCACTCCTCCTCAAAAGGTTCAAGGTTCGCTAAAAAAAGTACATTAAAAGTATATACCTTCTCCAAAAATGCAGGTCGAAATCGACTTACTTATACTACTGGCAATATTGTGCATTAAAAAATTAAATCACAGAGTCAACATCTCGGGTAGCTGCCATAAACCCAGATGGCGTTATCTTATCCTCAAGTTACCGACTTAACCAACTTCTGGAGCTTGTTAGGTCAGATTTACCCACCTTAGACAAGATCGTCTGCCTCATCCCATCCCTTGCAGGCGGCTGGGCCTCTCTCCCTCTTATGACACGGTTTGGAGTATCCCAGCATTGCTTAGTAGGATTCAGTGCAGGCAGCCAAGTATTATTTCTCAATTTCCTTATCCCTGAAAAAAATGCTCAATGAGCAAGTTGACATGAACCAAATTGCAGTAATATGCACGTAACAAAAGAAATTACAAACAAAATGAGTTCTAGCGAAAAAATGGAACTGTGTCTGTCGTCAGAAATAGCATGTAAAAGTCAGCATCTCCGAAGAACACCTACCAGTTCGGTTCAAGCTTCATAAGATATAAAGAACTGCCATTTTGAGCAAAATTTAACACTTATGGGTCTTCGGCTAATCTCTTCTGACATGAAACGTGAGGTGTGGGCACGGCGCCGCAGAGAAGAAACCTTGCTTTATCTGAAAACCTTACATGCCTTGAAGGACACATTTCACGGCAATAGAATCGACGGGCCAATTCCTACCAGCAGTTCTTACCTTACGGGGTGAAACAATTTTCCTGTGAGTACACCTTGGCCCACCCCACGAATCAGGTGGTGTCTGCTGGTGTATTTTCTTCAGAAAACTGGGGTTCCGTTTGCTTTCGCCACTTTTCCGCGGAGAAGGTGCACTGAATGTTCCCTTTTTCACGACTTGCATAGTATACAGTCCTACCTGGCTGTAGTTTTACAAGGGTCACCTTTGCTGTGCTTTGTGTGACACCGTTAGGTGAATTACTGTTGGATCCTTGAACCAATCCAAGGTGAAATCAATGTTCTTTTTTTGCGCTAGGCAACCTATAATCCAACAACTTACCAAGTTCTTATTTGGCTTTTACAACGTGTATAGTCACTCTTCCTTCAAGCGTAATTTTTTACAGGTACGTGCAACTAAACATACATGTACCTGCGTTAGGTGCCTAAACGTACATTTGTCCTTACATTTTTCCTTGGACTTGTCACACAGGCATAGCCATCTGAACATTGTCCAATGAATTGATTACATAACCATAGCTTGCAAATCGATTATTAGTGATTGACCAACCCAGGTATATCTAATGTGTGGCCAAAATTGTCACTGTGAAAATTAAAAATAACAAACAACAAATACATGAGGATTTTAAAAAGTATTCCATCATTTTGAGCAAGAATGTACATCATTTTATTTCATGCTAGTGAATGACTTTGTTATGGTTATGAAGTCTATTCTATTCTATTCTATTATATTCTATTACACCCGTCATTTTAGATCATTTTATTTCATTCTAGTGAATGACTTTGTTATGGTTATGAAGTCTATTCTATTCTATTCTATTCTATTATATTCTATTACACCCGTCATTTCAGATCAGTTTACAGGGAAAAAGATCCGTTTAGTAGGTGAGATGAGTAGAAACGTAGGCCGAGTGGAGGTTTATCATGATGGCCAGTGGGGGACAGTTTGTGACGATGGCTTTGGCAACACTGAAGCAGAGGTTGTATGCCGTTTGCTGGGATACAGGTGTGGTTTTCATAAAAGTTATATTGGTAATAATGTGTCATTTCGTGGCTTTGAATGAGAGAACATTTTATGATAAATGCTCTCTCCACGCTGTTGCAGAAAGTGCGCCATTATTTTAATGTCCATCCAGTGGCTGAATGCAATACTACAATATAAATAATTTAGTTGTCTTAAAGATGGGTTTTATAGTCGTCTTTTACCCCCCAATTTAAAATGAGTTAGTGGTTCCCATCAAACACGACATGTTCAGATTAAGTTGCTAGCACATTGCTACCACATAATAATGTGTTTGCTGGGATTAACCATTCAGAAAAAAAAATTTCGACACATTGTAGGGAACCCTCCCTAACCTCTTTCTTAACATATGAGTGCCTGTAAAAACAGCTAAATGTACACTTGTTATAGCCCGTACAATGCCAGAGTATACGGGTCTTATTGGGATATTCATCCTACTTATGGCCGTATATGGCTGGATGATCTGCGCTGTAGAGGCAACGAGTCCAGCATATTCGACTGCTCTCACCGAGGACTGGGGGTACACAACTGTGACCACAGTGATGATGCCTGGGTGGAATGTAACAATGACACAGGGCTCTCGGCCACCGCCATTCCTGGTGGGTAAATGTTTGAACACTTTTAAACGAATTTTAAAGATATCCGATAGACTAGAAATTCTGACCATAAACTTCTAGTCGAATCTATTATACGCAAAAAAAAGTATAACTATAAAAACGTATGTGCGTGTATAGTATAGCTTAAAGTGCTACTTGAGACTAAACATCACTTTTCTTGCTTTCTAAGCATGACGCTTTTTTATAATTATTCTAATATATAAGTGCCTTTAAATTCATGGGTGACGGCTCGGTGACTTAACTAACAGTCAACATGCTATCCCATTCCAGACCCCTGTTCCCCAAGCCCCTGCCAAAATGGTGGCACCTGTGTACGTACCAGCAGTTTGTATCCTTCGTACACTGACTACAAATGTGTATGTCCTCACGACCGAAGAGGGGAAAACTGCGAGAACAGCGAAGGTAAGTATTCCAATGGCACTTTACCATGTTATAAAGCTATTACCATTACCCCGCCCAAAAATGCGTACAGATTCATAATTAAATAGAGGCAAAGTTGTATGCCACACTATCTGGAGAAGATTACATGTGACATACATATGTGTGAACATTTTGTCTGAAGTGCTACATACATGCAGCAATAACCTTATGTTTTAAACGTGTCACGTTTTATAGACGATTTTATCATTTTCATTCCAGACCCATGTGCCTCGAGCCCTTGCCAGTATGGTTCATGTGAACGTACCAACAGTTCCTTTTGGCCTTATACTGGCTACAGATGTAACTGTCCTTTCGACCGTACAGGGGAGAAGTGCGAGAACAGCATTTACGGATACGGTGAGCACAAAACTATTGATGAAATTTATACGAATTATTACTAAGTGTTTATGAATATTTAAAGGCCAAAATACCCTCCAAATCGATCTACTTTTTAGCTAGTTAAGAAGGCAAATGTATGGAACATATTTTTAAAAACAGTAAAGGTACAAGAATATACTATTTCATCGCCTGCCGAAGCACCTGTAAGGCTAAATAACATGTTAAACTATTAAGCAAAAGATGCACAGGTATTTTATCGGTTAATAACTGTCCGCCCAATATCTTAAAGCAAATGTTAAATTTATATTATGTATATAGTATTTCTTGTTCTAAGCAGAAATCACTGCTCCACAGGGAATCACAAGATATATGGAAGGAAAATCATCCATTTATTATAATTATCACAAAAATTGTTAATCATTAACCCCATGCTTTGTGTGATAATTATGATAAATATCGAGTATTCATAATATAAAATTTATCATGGAGAGTTTCAACGATGAATTGGAATTATATATGTGCGTGTGTGTATGTGCGTGTTCGGATGCAAGTGTTTTAGATGTGTGTTGTTATTCATCACACAAAGATATATATATATATATATATATATATATATATATATATATATATATATATATATATATATATATATATATATATATATATATATATATATATCAAGCGTGAGTGTGGAACAGAGTGCTCAACAGTCCGGAGTATTTGTACACAATTATAATAAATAAATAAATAAATAAATAAATAAATAAACAAGAGACATGCAATAACCCCGGCTCCGAGTATCACGGGCATACCCAGAAGGTTTATTTGAAAATGGTTTTATTAGCCGTTTTACGTACACGGTAAACATCACTGTATCCACCAACGATAGAGCAGTTAACTTCCTTCATGTTAACCAAGACTTCCGGGTAACACAAAACCGAACGCCCAGCCGATCTATGTTCACAAAATCTCAAATTACCCCCCTGCAATCATTAGGAACATTCCTTATTCCATCGGCGAAAGATTGCAATCCCTTTCGTCTGAAGGGGTGGTAGCAGAAAGATCAGATGACGTATATACGACGGCGCTCCAAACGGCGGGATATAACGTAATGTTGTTGGGTAATAACTTTAAAGCAAGCCGCTCTCGTCCCAGTGAAAAGAAATGACGAAACAGGAACCGTATTTGGTTCAACCCACCATACTCAAAAAATGTTAAAACGAAAATCGGATATTAGAGGTATATTCCTCCAGTTACTAGACAAACATTTTCCTCGCGGAAGCAAGGTTTACCGATTATTCAACAGATCGACGGTAAAAGTAAGTTACTGTTGTATGAAAAACATACAGCAAATCATTCACGGTCACAATAAAAAAAATTCTAAAAAACTTGTCAGTTAACACTCAAGATAAGAAAGGTAATTGTAGAGCTCCAAGTAAGTGTCCTTTAATAAGAGGGGAATGTTTGTCTAGCAACATTGGGTACCAAGCAACAGTTACTACTAAGAACAAATGCATGAAATATATAGGCCTTTGTGGTGGGCAATTTAAGTTGAGATATAATAATCACACTAAGTCATTTAGGAACCAAAAATATGCTGCAGAAACTGAGTTATCCAAATACATTTGGAAATTAAAAGAAAATAACACCCAGTATGACATTAGATGGGACATCATAAAGAAATCAGCGCCGCAAAGGAGAAATCAGCACCTAAGCAACCTTTGTACGGACGAAAAACTGTTAATAATGATAGCACCAGCAGATACTCTAAATAAAAGAACTGAAATAATTACCATGTGTCGGCATAAGGTGACGTAACTATACCCGCACGAAAATGCAGTAGTATCGAAGTAGCAAAGAAGCATTAACGCAGTAGTAGTGTGGAGCATATTTTCAGTATAAATGCAGTATAGCCTACTGCAATTCTACTCCAAAAAGTACATAGGTTTGTACAGAGAGGAGCATTTATGCAGTAGATTAGCAGCATGATAGAAGCATGTTTCAAATATGCTAATTAGCTCCTAAATCGAAGCAGATTTGAAGCATGTTTGCAGTATGATTGCAGGAGTCTACTGCGCTGGAGTATCTACTGCGTTTTCGTGCGGGTAACACAGCTAATAAAACCATTTTCAAATAAACCTCCTGACGATCGGGCATACCTTCTGGGTATGCCCGTGAAACTCGGAGTCGGGGTTATTGCAAGGATCTTGTTTATTTATTTATTTATTTATTTTAATTGTGTATATATATGTGTGTGTGTGTGTGTGTGTGTGTGTGTGTTGAGACTGACATGCTGGACCAGCACCTTTTTACCATCGGTAGAAAACACAATTGGGAATGGGAATCATCGATTCATTTTCCAAGATAATAATGGTACATTCCACAGAGCCAGGGCTGTACATGAAAAAATATTAAATATCATGGACGGGGTAATTATGATATATGGTGATCAAATAATCAGATAACGCATGCGGCAAAATAGCGATAGGATTTGTAAGACCATATTCCTTCCATGTGTTTTTTATCTAGGCCCTTGCTCTTCGCACCCGTGTCTTTATGGAGGCAAGTGTTCCTCACGAGGAAACGGCTACGTCTGCGACTGTCCGTGGGGTAGATTCGGGAAGAGATGCGAATCTAACGGTATGTAATGTTTCAAAAATCATATCATATCCTATCATACAAAAGTGTTCCTTGATTACTAGCAATATTTAGAAGTGTAGATACAATAGGCGTTTCTATTTTATAATAATATATAATATAAATATACACTAAATGGTTTTTTTTTTTTTTTTCGCGCTGATCTTAGGCCCCAGTGAACTGAATAGTTCGAGGGTCAATTAGACCGACCACATGAATACTTTCCCACAGGGAATCTATTCAGCGTCTATTCGCGGATTAGACGGCAAGCGTTGAAGTGTGTCGCCATATTTCACCCGAGGGCTAGTTAGTCCACTGTTATAAAAGCGGCCTTAGAGGTTACGAGCACTATATTTAGCAAATGCTTATCGGTGTGGTTATGGCAAGGGTTATATTAGAATAATGAAAATAGTCCTTATTATTACAGAAATCCCAGTTCGTTTAGTTGGAGGCCGCAGCAACAGAGAAGGGCGCGTGGAAGTTTACGATGAATCCCTTGGCAGCTGGGGTACAGTGTGTGACGACGGATTTGACGACAATGCCGCTAGGGTCATATGTAGATCGCTTGGATTTGGGTAATACCAATTAAACGTTAATTCATCGATTGCCATTACATACGTTCGAATTTGAAGCTTTGATATGTATTTTCACATGCTTTGTCAAGTTTTGTTAATAGTAAAGTTTACAGTGGTCTTCATTAAGCCTCAATCACAACCCCCTACGCCGAATCTGTGTCCAAATTTTGTGCAGAATTCAGCGTGCCAGGCAAGTCCGTCTTGTGCCATTTCGAGTTAGTTCGTAGACAGTCCTTAAGCATGTATGGAGGATATTGGGCATGTCTGCGAACAGATTGCGAATAGTCTGCGAACAGCAAGGCCGTAAGTGTAACTTGCTCCCTTCGCAAGGAGTTCGCAAGTGATATGTGCAAGAAAAAAGGTGATCTAAGATATGTCATCATGTGTCATCACGAGCTTAAGGCAAGTGTGAAGCACAGGTAATATAACGCAAGTGTGAATCACTTTCGCCGTGCGTTGTATTTTCTTCGTAAGTGGTGTGTGAGTGCCATATTTGCAGGAAGCAAGACAAAAGCTTAGGTCCCAACTACACGCATGCTTTTCAGGACATACGTTTTTTTTTTCGATTCCTTCCGTCTGGCTGGGCCGTAGCTAGATCGTAGGGAAAAAATCAAGTAACTGGGGATTGCAAGGAGTACGCGTGGAAAGTACGTGAGAAGTACAGCCTCCGAACGTCAGAAGTACCTGCTTGTGGGGAACCCCCTTAAGACCACCCCAGGGCCCCACATTACATTAAATAACCCTTAATAATAAAACACCCTTGGGTTTGGGCACAATGGGCTCACAACTTTGGATAACGCTATCTGTAATACTGCTACAGAGATTCCCAGGTTTACTTGTCTTAAATTCTGCACACGGAAAAGAATGAAACGACTCCATGCTGTAACTTCAACAGAGTATATTTTACTAAGTTAACAGTTACATGGTACAAGCCTCTCTCTCCTCCTCTCTCTAGCTATCTCCTATATTTTTAAGTTTACAGATTTTTAAACTAAACTTTATCAGTAAAACTGTCCATCACAGAACTTAAAAACCGATTGGTTACTTCATACACAAAGCCACCTTCTTCCAGGTGGGCACTCCTAATAACACCCTGTAATCTAGTTCTAACAGATTACTGGCTTCGGAACAAAGGACATTAACATTTGAACTGCAAGGTGTGAAGCCTTATCTGAACAACTTGTACAACTTGGCTTCCCATGTCTGAATTTTATCAAACAATGGCTTCCTCTGATTGAGTTAATACAACATCATGTATGAAAGTTTTAAAAGTACGAATTACACTTTTTTCTATACACTATGGTTCCTGACATGCTGTGCCTGACGGGCTTTCGCACGTGTCCCGCGCGCCCGGTACATGCAAAGTACAAGCATTGTGCACTACGTGTGTCATCCGTACGAAAAGTACGGGCAACGCAGTGGCAACGCAAATGGACGTAGGGCAGTATTGCTTCCTTCCTACGGGCTCCTGTCTCAAGGTTTCGTCTGCGTCGCTCTCTTTAGCTTGGAGATTAATTTCATATGCGTTATTTCGCGTTAGAATTCGAGATCAGTAGTGTCAAGGCGGCGCTGTATGCTGACGATTTTTTCACAAGTGATTATTTGGACGATGTGCTGGAAGGAAATGGCATCATAGAAAGCGATGATAAGGTGGTGACTGAGGATGGTCGTCATGAGTTTTTTGAGTAGTTGATAGTTTTTTTTTTTTTTTTTTTTTTTTTTTGCACAACCCAAATCACCAAGGAGAAGTCGAAAGAAAACTTCCCAACTGTGGTTTGTGGAAATGACATTCCAGTGAACGTCTTGTTAAGTCCCAAACTTCGTCAGTCGGACTTCAGGTTAGGATAACGTCACGTTAGATAACGCGCCGGTTCTTGGGCCTTAGTGTTGTGCGCCCAGCTGATCCAATAAAACGAACAAGATTCTCATTTGACGCAAGTAGAAATTTAGTAATATCTTTTGGAAATATACAGAGGTTTCTTCTACATTGTAACTGTCCGTCCAAAATGTATCATGACATACAAAATACGATATGAGAATCGAGAGCCAAAATACGATATGATATCACCTTAAAACAGGGCAGCCTTTATAGATCATTCAGGTATTTTAATAACCAGGATGAAATTACACATGAACGCAGTCCATTTGTCTCAGGCTCTACTCCAACTCAGTCACCGTGTTTCCTGGATTATCATAATCAGCCCTAGCTTTCAAAGCATTTCTGAGTTTTATCTCGTGCCAAGTGCCCCGGTCGCGATCATTCCCGAATGTCTATTGACTGTCCCCTTCTAAGCTTATCTTTGAATATGAATATTATTTTAATTTAATTATTTGTATCAGTTATAAAATACCCAAAGTGGTATTCATATTTATAATTATTTCCCGCCAATTACATCGCCGATACCCACATATCACCACCAGAATCACCCCAACCACAATGAGGGAACCAGTGGTTGTTCCAATTACTAATTGTCACCTAAATTTGTTACCAAAAATATAGAGATTCGGTTCATCGCTTATCGGAGTGAGCAATACATGTATACGTTTTACTGGTTGTAAATGATTAAATTTGTCAGGTTTCATGATGTGCAAGGCCACACTAGCCAGAAGAATATTTTTTTCACCTGCAAAGGTTGATATCATTAACCATGAGTGCCTTAACGCTTACTTTGCCCGTCCGTTGTTTTAAACCCGGTAACTTCAAGCTGGTGGCCGTGATGGAACAGCCGTCACTTACATGTATCAGGTAGACCTCTGCTGGCCATAGGGTATGTGACACTGCAGGTGACCACGGACACCGTGTATATATTGTTTCTCCCGAATGGGTAAGCGCGTAATACCCTAAAGCTAACTCTACTGCCTGCGACTGTACCTGCCTAGTTAATTCTATTTCACATGCTCGCCTATGTTCCACCCGCCCGGTGATTAAGGCCCTGGAGCATAATTCTATACCAGGTCGAAACATCAGTCCTGACCTGAATACCATGGGTCGCCACCCTTGGCAGTTCGAAGGGTGGAAGATGTCCTCCGTGATAGGATCAATCCCAACGTCTGCGAACGGAATTATTACCTTTGCTGCTATCCCGGACGCATTGTATGGTGCGGGGAAGCTAAGAATCTGCTCTTTCTGGTACACCCGCTGTGCAATGTGGGGTAACTTTACCCTGTAGATCAAAGTCTTACCTCCCCATGCTGGGTTGACCACGACATGCTCATAATACCAGTTGATCGGTTGAATTAGCAGAGATGTAACATTCGCTGTCGCCGTTGTCAAGATATCCTGAATTTGGTCGGGCGGAAGCATTTTTTTCGTTAACGATCCAATTCAAGGCTTGTTTTCTGTCTTTCTCCATTGTCAGTTCGAATATTCCTCTAATGTGATCAAATGCTTCGAATGCTGTCGGAATGCCGTTGGGATATTTGGAATGCAGCCATAGTGCAGTTAGAATACTGTTCAAATGCCATTCGATAATTTTCCACTTGGAATGCACTTCGAAATTTTTTGACATGACAAAAACATTCGGGATGCCACAAGAATGGGTAAAAATATTTAGAATGTACTCGGAATTTTTAGAATGCTCTTCGAATATCCAGGAGCGCACAAAGAATTGTCTTTCCGACGGCATTCTTGCTCATTCCGCCTCTAGTGTGGGAGGGGTATAATGCCATGTCACTCAGAAAAGGGAAGCCTCTATGTTAGAAAAAAAGCATAATAATAGCATTATGAACTACTAGTATGGCCACGTAGACATTCTGGAATTATACAATGAAGTTTAATGTGTCATTGTTGTTATGACTTGACTGAATTAATGTTAACCACATAAAAGTACAATTTACAACTAAATTTATATAGAACATCAAGATTCATGATCACAGGCTCACACGGAATTGAAATAAATTGTACTTATTACTAGAAACAAGTATCAAAATCATTTTAAACCTGCCCTAGTTCCTACCCTTATGACAGGACACAAAGGCAATTTCAGAGAGGCCGGTCGCTAAAAAGGAAAATGCCCAAGGTTGTTGTAGTTTGAAATTGGTGAAAAAAAAATAAAAAGCGTACTGTTGTTAGTGAATGTTTAATGCATTGTAGGCATTAAGACAAAAGTAACTTACCTCACAGGCACACTGACTTTCTTTTTTCATTGATAATTTTGAATTTTTCCCAGCCTGACCATGATTCATATATTCAATGCAGCCTTCTCCCATATCTATAATAGAAAAAAAAATGAGTAAAGTGTTTAGATATGCATGCCCGAATCATTATCAATTTTGAGAGAATTTCTGTTTCGACATTGCAAGACGAAATATTAACTTTCAAGTAATGAATAAAACCTTAATTAAAACCTCTATTCTTTTGTCATCAGCAAGACAAAGCAACTTTCAAAAAATGGACTGAAACATCCAAGCTTGCACACCTAACATGTAATACAATATAATTACGGTAGGGATGCAGGTACCCCTTAATTATAGAGGTGTCTTACACACCTTGACTCAAAGGGAGATATATAGTGAGATAACAGGTAAAGTAACTGATGGAGCCTAGGTGAACTTAAAACCTTGTGACTTTAAATTAAGAAGCACTGGGATTTGCATGTTTTTTCAAAGATTTAATATTATTTAAAACATATATTTATATGTAAAAAGAGAATTAATAACCATACCAAAGACATAAAGGCAAGCTTCCTGTTAAACCGCCATGATGGAAATGCTAGTTGGGGGCCAAACTTTTCCAGTCAAAATAACAGAGCACCTCACTTTAACAGCAAAGTTACCACTCCAAAGTCACCTACCATGGTGAGAAGAAAACTGATGACCAACTGTCATGTTTTTTTTTTCAGCAGAAAGACATTAAAGGCGAGAATGGTACATTTACCCATAACATGAATTGGTACTCTGAACAAAACGGGTTATTTTTTTCACAATATGTTGGAGCAATAGCTATGTAGTATATACCAAGCCACGCACAAGATGTTCAATTATCTAAAAACACATCGACAATTTTCATATCCACGCTTTTGAAAGGTGCAAACACCTTCTAGGAGTTTGGCCGAAACAAGCGTAACAGTTCTTGGTCTGAAATCATGAAAAATGGCCAGTGTCGTATTCAAGCTAGATCGCAAATAAAAAGAACAAAACAACAACACTGCTCAAGAAAGTGTATAGCAGACATATCAAGTTATTAGTTAAATGTTATGACTGTCATGTAACACAAGTATCAAAAAGTAGGAGAGAAAAGCTATTGGAGAGGTTTTTCCCCGAAACATAAATAAGATGGTGGCCTACGTATCTGCTTGCTATCCAGAAACAGAAAGTGCACCTACGATTTATCCTATCACATTGCCACAAATGATTAAACAATTACAACTGTATAAATACCAAACTTTCCTCACCTAATACTACAAGCATAAGCATTTGTAAAGAGTGGGAAATATTTTTCCTGCAATTTTTTTTCTGCACACACCACCCTCACGAGATCGTCGTGGAACTGGATACTTACAAAGTGAGACCTTACATCACAGATGTTGCAATTTAGCTTCATATTGCTCAAAGTAATGGATTTGAATTATCTAACCTGTTTTCGAGGACCTTATTCAACATCATATTCCACGCAATCTGTAATTCCCGCATATTAATGAACCTTTTGTTGTAATTTTATGTGCCATCTCTCGAAAACGCTGGAGAAGAAGCTTCTTTTCGGAAAACGAGATTTAAACGAGATATTCACCCATTGTCCTCTGGGTTCTATTCATTCCAACCTATGAGAGACCGTAAAACGGGGTCCACCCCCAGACTTGTAATCTCCTTCTGTTGTAACCCCTTGCTATAGTCAACAGAACGTTTTAAATGTAATTTCTTAAAACGACATCAGAAAGCAAATCCAATAAAATCAACCAAACGGTAAACACCGGCAGTCTTTATCAATTTCAACATTTGTTTATTTCATACAGCGCGCTTTTCGCGCATGCGCAGTCGCTTGAAGCCTGTGCTCTCGTAAGCACGTACGGAGGATGTTGGACATGTCCAAAATATTCTACGAATAATCTACTAACAGCTAGGCTGCAAGCGTATCTTGCTCCACCGCAAGGGGTTCACTAGAAGGTCGCAAGTGAGTCGTGCGTGCTCTAAGACGCACGTCGCAAGCAATGAAGGAGCAAGTACCCTTTGCGTGTTGAGTACGACGCACTCCCTCACAGCTAACGAACACAAAGTTGAAAGTACGGGGGAGTGCATTCCACTTGCTTCGTCCTCACTCCAGGAGTATAAAAGGCGTGCTCACGTCTCGACAGTTAATGCTGATTGTGCAACGTGTACACAGTTTTCAAAAAAAAAAAAAAAATCGAATTTTGCGCAATTCAGCTCCTTATATCCCCTTAAAGGTAAGGGAAAGAACTTTAAAGAGCAAAAAAAGAAGGGAGGAGGAAGAAAAAAGGGGAGAGCAGGAGGCAAAACTGACTTACGCGGTCAGTACGCCCCCACAAGAGTGTAAGGCAAGTGTGAAGCTAAAGGGAACTACTTTCGACGCGCGTTGCATTCCCTTAATAAATGGTGACTGCGTGCCACGTACATGTACGCAGGTAGCAAAACAAACTCAAGAAATGAGTACAATTCCCACGGCCATCGCACTTTGCAATTGGCGTCCCTGCTTGAAAGGACATCTCACGTGGCCCCTGAGACTCGCATGGCAG